TTTCTTATATATGTTGCTGCAAGGTATCAGCTTCTAGGCATGGCGAGAGTAAGTCTGCGAAAAATGGTCCCAAGGGGCGTCCTACTGCGACACCGTCAACGTGACGGGATAGATTCGATTTATTGGTTGAGGATAGAAGGCTTGGAGCCTATGTTTATCCTTTTCTAGTAAATTTCTGTGGTTGTCCAAACCCTTCTTGAACGAATCAGTTGAGGTTGCAGACACCACTTCTTCTGGGAGTCGGTTCCAAGATTTTATGACTTGGTGTGAGAACCAGTACTCAACAGCAGTATGATTTCTTCTTGGCTTTTGAACTTTCTTGTTATGTCCTCTAAGGTGTCCCGACCTGGTGGGAAGGAAAGGAGAGAATAGATCAGGTCCGTATTCATTATTTAAAATTTTAAACATTGTGATTAAATCTCCTCTCTGCCTACGGTATGACTGGTAGAAGAGGTTTAAACTGTCTAGTCTTACCTCGTATGATAAGTTAGCCATGCGGTGAACCATACCTGTTACCTTCCTTTGAACCCTTTCTAGAATGTGTGAGTCCCTTTTACACAAGGACTGGCGGCATGGATGCAGTTTTCCAATCTTAACCTCAGCAGAGATGTATATGAGGAGGTGAACATATCTCTGGTGATTCCAGTAAAGGCTCTGCGAATTGCCCATAAGGACCTGAAACTACGTGCAGCCACCGCGCGACAGTGTGCTGTAGTTTTTAAGTCGTGGCTAACTATGACATTTAAGTCCAAGTGAGTCTGAACTGATGGAAGCGTTATTCCCTCTAGTTCGTAGGAGCTTGTGCTTGATTGTCCAATGCGCATGGTTGCACATTTTGCCACATTGATCGGGAGCATCTATTCGACGGACCACCCTGAGAATTTGTTGAAGTCCTCTTGCAACGTGGACGTATCACTGTTGCCCTTCAGCTCTCTCCAAATTTTTAAGTCATCTGTGTATAGGACCATAGAGGAGTCGGTGAGCAGAGATAACTCATTGATATACAAAATAAATAGGAGAGGTCCGAGTACCGTGCCTTGTGGCACTCCGCTACGTACTGCTGTCCAAGTTGAGAGTTTCGAGTTGATCCTAACCCTCTGCCTCCTATCTATGAGGAATTCCCTGAGCCAGTCTAGTAATCTGCCTTTGATACCAAGACTTTCCAATTTCATGAGTAGTCTTTTGTGATGTACTTTATCAAAGGCTTTACTGAAGTCTATGAAGACGATGTCAACGGGTCTTCTGTTGTCCTTTGATTTGACCCAGCTTTCTCTTGCAGTGAGGAGATTTGACAGCCATGAGAGGTTCCTCTGGAAACCATGCTGTGCTCTAGATAACAAGCTGCTGTTTTCCAGATATGGCATGATGCTTTTCCTGGCGATTCTTTTCAGCGTTTTGATTAAAGTGCTGGTGAGACTGATGGGCTTGTAATTTGAAGGGCTTTGTCTTGGTCCTCCTTTGTGGATGGCGGTTTCTATGGCGTCTTTGCAGTCACGAGGTAACACTCCATTTAGAAGAGATAGCTTGAAGATCGTGGTCAAAGGGCCGGCTATGTGAGCTGATAGCTCCTTGAGAAGCCTCGGATGAAGATTATCAGGACCCATTGATTTCCCTGCATCTAGTTTCATTAAGCAGTTGAGTACGATGCTTTGGTTTATGTCCACAGAATCTATCTCGTATTCCTCTGATACAGCTAGAGCTAATCCTATAGGGAGTGATGACTCCTGAGTGAAGACTTAGAAGTAGTCTGCCATTGCTTCTGCTTTTTCTTGATCTTCGATTGTGTCATTGTCGATAGTCAGGTTTGGGATGTTTTATTCCTGAAATTCAAGTACGAGAAAATTTTCTTCGGTTGTGCCTTTGATTTTTGAGCCAGATGTGCCTCGAACTTCATCCTTAATTGGCGGATTCCTGTAATAGCTTTTTTTTAGCGGTGTTATATAATTTCCTGGTCTCAGAAGTCCCAAGTGTGGCAAACAGGTTCCAACATTTGTATTTACTTCTGAGTAACTTACGAATCTCTCGGTTTATCCAAGGGGGGGGGCAATGTTTCCAACCCTTTGGGACGGACCAAGGGATGAAAGGTTCAGTTACTTGGGCGTAAAGTTGTTTAAATTGGTTCCATGCGGGGCTCCTACTTGGGACTTTGGGTTGATGTATCAGTTTACTGAGTTGGCTGCTGAGACGATTGCATTTATATCAGCTTTCCAAACATTTGGTCGAGCTGGGGTTTTGGCCCTTGCTACCGTTGCTGTGAACTTGAAAGTGAGCACAGCATGGTTACTTCTTCCTAAAGGATAAAGATGTTGTATGAGATCCACATCCTCACCGTGGGAGAACAATAGGTCCAGAATTGAGGAGGAGTTTTGTGAGTCATAACGCGTGGGCTTGATGATATATTGGACTAGGGCTAACGATATACTAGATTCCTGCAGTTTATGATCAAAGGAGTTGACTGAAGATGGAGTTGTTAGGCTCGTGCAGTCAACTGTTGGGGTGTTGAAGTCGCGGACTACGAGACTTCGACATTTCGGAGTCGAGGAGCCTAGCTTCTCTATTAGGAAGTCATCTGCACTGCAGTCAGGACTGCGGTACATAGCAATGAGGTCAATGTCTTGGCCTATGCATTTAAGTCTGCAGCGTAGAAGTTCGCACGACTCACTTTCGTGAACGAGTGCTTTGACACTACGCACGGTTAGACGCCCATCGAATTGGAATTGGACATTCTTAGTACATTAAAGTAACAATTTCCTTAATTGCGATGTTGGAATGGGTATGTCTTCAGCTACTGTACACATAAAGTCAATAGTCTCAACAACTGACACATTTGTGAAGAGGGAGGTAACATCGAAAGAGATCAGATGTTTATCATACGTATTAAAATCTTTAATTTGCTTGACAGGCCTAATTTGCATTAACTCCTAAATTAAAGGTAGGAAATAAAATGGTCGAATATGTTTCCCACTCCTCTTATTCGGGAAAATGCATCAGCTATGGTGGACTGATTACTGACGAAATCTCAGCGCCTGATGTGACATCTACCAGCTTACATTATCTCTGATGTGGAAGCCAAGTTAGGTTGCACCAATCGAAATGGGGAGAACAGGTACTACGTTAGTGTTGAAGATGGGGATTTTTGTCCTTGTACTAAGTGCTTCAGATTGATTTCAGAGTGATGAATACCTGCCTCGCCTTTCCGATCCTGAGTGGTTTTGACATCTTCGTCCATACCGTCTGTAGTTGAAACGATGCTTCTCAGGTAAGCAACGGAGATGACTTTCTCCAGATTAATCCCATTGATGGTGATTGTTGTTGTTGATGGTTGGATGTCTTCATCACCCCTGTCTTCTGTGTCCACTTGGATCCCTGTCTTTGCTGCCTTTTCTGTCCATTTGTTGGTTTTCACCTGTTAGTCTTCAAGTTTGTGAGAAAGGAGACATGAATCGTCCGCGAGATCCAGACCTACAAGGGTCTTGTATCGGTTCAGAGTGTGCTTATCTCCTCACAGCTTGTCGCATTGTCCAGTTCACTACACTCAAGGGGATCATGGGTAACATTAGTTTTGCTTCACTCGTGTTTTTGCTTCATGTGCTTTGGTGAGCTTTCTGTCGTGAATCACTTGACATTTTTTCATCATTACACAGTTATTGAGTGAGGTTTAAGAGTGTTTGCAACATTTCATCGGAGAGCGTTGTAGCAGTTGTCAAATTACTTCGCGATCGACACTGCCGAAGGCTATTTCAAAGGCGATGTTGAGGTAGGGAGTTGACTGACATTCTAGGCCTTGTTCATCGATGATGGGAAGTGTTACTATTTGATCCGTGCATGACTTTTCTCCTGAATCCAGCCTGTTCTGGGCGGAGTTTTCCAACTAGGTTTCCTTTCAAATCGCCCTCAGAGTGTTTCAGTGCCCCTCCATGCAGCGGCCTTTGGTGACATAGGTTGGTGCCCCCAACTTTTCCTGTTGACTGGAGTGAAGATGTCGTTTTCAGCTCCATCTACCATACTCGACTCTTACTCTGTCTCCAGGTCCTTCGAAGGCTGTCAACTTGATCTCGGAAACATCTAACACTGAATGGTAGTCTCAAGCTGCGTCTGATCCTTTCTTGGATCTTTTGTCCAGTTGGCTGCGTCTCCAGTTCTCTGAGTCTGAAATGAAGTCTACTTGGTTTTCGGATTGTCCATCTGGTGAGGCGCGCGTCTCCTTATTGAAATCCCTGTGCTTGTGCACACTGCCTCAAATCACCTAATTATTAAAGGCTCAGAGTCATCCATTCTCGTTCATTTCACCAAGTGTTTGTCAGCTCATGATGAGTTCTCCTTATGTGTTGTTTGCTTGCAGTTATGCTTGCATTCATATCACCCGTTAAAATTTTGATGTCGCCACCTGTCTGTGGTCTTATTTATTATTGCTTATAGTTGTATGTAGAAGTCTTGCGTCTTCTCTTGGTCTGCGTTGTTTGTAGTGTTGTTCGTAGCACTGTGTCGCAGCTGTCTGAAACCAGTCTTCTTGCGTCTGGCAGTTCGGGTAAAGTAGCAGAAATGAACTGGCTCCTACTAACCTTTGTGTTTAGGTTATTAACAACCTGTAAAAATTGCATCCACAACTGAGTGGATATTATACCAGGCTTCCTCAAGAAGATTCTTGCTGTGTACCCCAGATATACGTTTAGCTATTTCTTCCTTAAACAAGGACTGTTCTAATCAGGTTGTCTGCGTTACAGCTTCTGACTGTTCTTTACATGTCGGTTCACTTTCAGGTGTTCCGAGGTTTGTTTAACTTTTAGAAATGTGAATTATTTTTTGTTGATTTAGAAGTGTAGTTTGTAGATAGTCTCCACTAAGCACCCATTTATTGATGAATCGAAATAATTGATTTTTATTTGTTTATTCCTGTAACAGAAAGAAACTCTTCTAGACACCAGACTAACAGTAAAGTAATCCATTAAGTACTTTTTTTGTAGAATTTTAGTTATCGAATTATTTCTTCTTTTTGATAGGAATACGATATGTGGCATCCACTAGAAAAGCAGCAATATCCGGACTACTTTGCAAGACGGGAAAAACGTAAAAAGGAATTTATTGATGCCTGGGTAAAACGTTATGGTGCCGTATCCGAAAAATAGCTGGATTGTGGGCTTAGGTAGTTGTCTTGTAGATGTGACTTCATATGATTATGACAAATAAAACTTTTAAAATACTGCTGGTTTATTTTCTGACCATTTTCATTCCTTGTTTAGTAGTTTTCATCACATTCTAGCGTCAATCAAGCGACAGACTAAAAAAATTAAACAGTCTCATTATCCGAGCTTTAAAGTCGTCATCATTGTCCCTGCTCATATCCCGGCAGACACAGACGAAACATTTCTAGCACTTTAGGTGGACGCATAACCAATACTTCTAGATTCTTGCGATCGCTGCATTACAGCCTGGTTGTTACATAGGTATCCATCAACACCAGGCATTTGGTTTAATCAAATTAACTGAAGCTTATGTACATGTTTTGGTTGTTGCTAATATTTAACTGTTTCTGCTGACATTCTCTGTTTCTCATACCGAAACTTTTGATTATATCTTATTTCGATTATTTAAAAGAGACACCAAAATAGTTATTGTTACAATGATAATCCCTTGAAGGCCCCGCTGCCACATATGGTCTTGATGTTTGTTAACATGTCAGTCATAGCCCTGAAAAACTGCCTTAGTATTTTGCCACTAAATAAAAAAGGCTTGTTGCGAGTTCCCTATTTCTGTTCATCAAGGTGATATTTTTTAGGTTTACATGCTGTGTTAGGCATGCATTTAGGTAGTACAGTGAAAACAACTTCCAAGAAGCTTTCCATCATATTCAGGAGTGGCAGTTTGTCTGACTGGGATTATCAGGATGCCGGGAGTTCTTGATGGATTTGAACCGTGTTGGTTCAGGAAAGCTCTTCGTTTGAATTGTTCTTGCACACATTTAATTTAAAATGAAGAATGCTTATAGGTTGGGAGGTTTCGTTTTGTAAGCTGGATAGTTTAATCGGAAACCGTGCATTATTATTCCATATTGAATTGCCAGCACAAATTTAAGACAGTAAATATACCACGAAAACATTAAAAAAAATACTATAACAAGTCATTGCTGTGTTATATATGCAATGCTTCGCGTTTGACTTTATGAAACAAATAGATATCGCTCGTAGTTCAAACTGTGTTTGAAAGGATTTTGTATAACGTAAATCATACATTTGGTAAATTAAATATCCCCGTATTTCTGTTCAAAGTATTGTCCGTTACTGTTACCGCCACCAATAGTGATTTTCACCTGGTACTGTTGTGTATAAACTGCTTGCCATTATATGATATCAGTGAAAAAAACATTATGGATAATTAGTTTACACTAAGATTTTCAGGAAGTTATTTGTTCAGACAGTTCGTTCAATTTCAAATTAACTCTAGATGTTCAAGTGATGGTTTGTGTGTCTGCTCGTCGTTTCTCTTTTTTCCACTGATGTTCAGTATGCACGATAACAGCAAAGTCATACTTAGATTATATTATTATTGTTCCCTTGGGTTCCTAGTAGAACATAGGGCTTCAACTGCACGTCTCCACTTGCTTCTTTCTTCTGCTGTACTTTTCACCTGCATCCATGTTAGTCCATACTGTTTCAGCTCATCTTCACACGATCTCTTCCATGTCACCCTTGAACTGACGTCCCACTCGCCGCTTCCCTTTCGGGTTCCACTCGAAGGCTTGACGCGCGATATCACCCAGCGGTCTCCTTAGCGAGTGACCGATCCATCTCCACTTTCTCCTGCATATTTGTTGGGCGATTGGTTCTTGTTTTGTTTGTTCCCATAGTTTCTTGTTGGTGATTCTTTCCGGCCCGGCCATCTGATCTTCAGTATAGAGCGAAGACAGTTGTTAATAAAGGTCTGGTCTGCAACAGGCTGTTGGAAATATTCTTTGTGACCCGCCCGCCAAGTTTCTAATTCGTATAGAAGAACTGACTGACTTGACGCTTGTATTGAAAACCAGACCGAATTTTGTTGTTGATGCAGAGTGACGAAGATTTCCAGATTGGTTCAGGTTGATGAATGTGTTCCTCGCCTTCCCGATTCTCGATTTGACATCCTCGTCCGTTCCTTCTGTAGTTGAGACAATGCTCCCTAGATAAGTGAATGAAGTAACCTCTTTCAAATCCCTCCCGTTGATGGTGGTTGGCGTTGGATGTTGCTTATGTTGTTGTTGTTGTTGATTATTTTTATAACCTCCGTCTTGTCTATGTTCACCTGGAATCCTGTCTTCGCCGGCTGCTTCTTCGACCAGTTTGTCGGTTTTCGCTTGTAAGACTTCGATTTTGTGTGACATCAAACATAAATCATCCGCGAAATCCAGGTCTTCTAGGTTCTTCGCGTCTGTCAAGGATATCCCTGTCTTCTCGTTTTCCACTCTCTGACGCATAATCCAGTCAACCACAATTAGGAATATCATTGGTGATAATAATTTTGCACCCTTGTCTGACTCCTCTGTTTACTCCAAACGCCTCGCTGAATTTTCCGTTGTGGATCACTTGACATGTGCCGTTGTTGTAGAGCTGTTGAATAAGGTAGATGAATATTTGGGGCAAGCCGTAGTGCTCGAGTAGTTTCCAAATTGCTTCGCGGTCAACGCTGTCGAAGGCCTTCTCAAAGTATATAAAGTTGAGGTAGAGGTTTGATTGCCATTCCATGCTTTGTTCTGTGATGATGATGCGTAGAGTAGCATTTATTCGGTCGGAACATGATTTGCCTTTCCTGAATCCAGCTTGTTCTGGTTGGAGTTGTGTATCCAGTGCGTCCTTTATTCTCTCCAGGATGATGCGACTCAGGATTTTATTTGGCGTCGACAGGAGCATGATTCCTCGCCAGTTCTTGCAGAGTGGGGCCTAAGTCTCCCTTCTTTGGTAGTTTCACGAGGTAACTTTCTTCCAGTCAGTAGGCACCTTTCCCTCCTTCCAGACCTTTTGCAATAATGGGGTCAGCATGTCTGCTGTCGTCTCTGGGTTCGCTTTCAGTGCTTCAGGGGGTATTCCATCTGGTCCAGCTGCTTTTCCAGCTTTCAGAAGCTTGATTTCATTCAAGACTTCAGCTTTCGTTGGAGGATTGGTGTCAACTTGCAGTTGTGTACGTGCTGTTGTTGGTATTTCTGGACGGTTTGCAGGTGGTGGTCGGTTCAAGAGTCCTTTGAAGTGACCCGCCCATTGTTTAGTCTGTCTTTCTTCACTAGTAATTGGGTTCCCTTGGCTGTCTTTTATAGGTTTCACTTGTGTTGATCTCTTCCCGGATAGAGACTTGGTTATCTGATATAGTGTCCACAGGTCCCTTTTGCCTGCTGCCTTTTGAGCTTCAGTGGCCAGGTTGTCATAGAATTTTCTTCTGTCCTTCCTAGCACTCTTCTTCACTTCTTTGTCCAATGCTTTGTAAGTTGAGCTCATCGTCTCCTTCTCCTGTCCGTCCTTGCATTGAATCATTTTCTCTTTCACCATTCTCCTCTCTTCTATTAATTTCCAAGTGTCCATTGAGAGCCATTTTTGTCTTGTCTCTTCTTTCTTCCTAGAACCGTTGAATACGTTCCGTTGAGAATCTCCTTCAGAGACTTCCAATGTTCTTCCACGCGTGATTCTTCAGTGATGCCACATAGTGTTTCCTGCTTTGCTCTGACAGTTGCAGTGAAAGTGCCCTTTATGGTTGTGTCTTTCAGTTTTTGAGTGTTGAAGTTGCATTGTGGCTTATCCCCAGCTATCCTCGAGGCTTTTAGTTTCACCTTGAAAGTCCCTTGTACTAGATAGAGGTCTGAACCCACATCTGCTCCTCTTCTCGACCTTGTGTCCAATAGGCTCTGTCTCCAAATCCTTGAGATTGAAATGAAGTCTATCTGGTTTTTGGTGTTTCCATTTGGTGAAATCCATGTCGTCTTGTGTATATCCTTGTGTTTGAAAACGCTGCCACCAATCACCAAATCATTGAAGGTGCAGAAGTCTGAGAAGAGTCCAGCATTGTTGTTCATTTTACTGAGGGCCTCACGACCCATGGTGAGTTCTCTTCCTGTGTTGTCCCCTCCCAGCTTCGCATTCATATCACACGTCAGGATTTCGATATCGCCATTTGGGACGTTGTCCATTACTGTTTGTAGTTGTCTGTAGAACGCCTCCCTCTTCTCTTGTTCTGAGACGTTTGTAGGCGCATAGCATTGAATGATTGTAACCTTCCTTCCTTTTGAGTTGAACCTGGCTGTCATTATCCTGAACGAGATTGATTCCCACTGCATGAGAGCTTTGGGTGCTGTTGGTGACATCATGATGGCCACTCCCTCGGTGTGGTCGTGATTGTCCTAGGGGTGACCGGAATAGATTATTGTCTCTCCAGTTGATAGTTGGCACTTTCCACACTCCTTACATCTGCTCCGCAGATTCTCGAGACTTTTATTCCATATTTTCTCATTTCAGCGGCTACCTGGGCAGCCTTTCCAGCTTCGTACATTGTACGAACATTCCACGTGCCCATCCTTATTTTTGCTTTCATCGAAAGAAGGCACATCGGCTGACTGGCTTCCCGAAGGCTTTCACAAGCCTGTGTCATTTCACTTCACCGATTCCAGCGAAAAATAAGGTTATTGTTTATATTTTTAGTATTTTTAATATATTTATTCGTTGAAGTTTCTGTAGCAATTCGGTTAAGTTTTGGGTTGGAGTTGCTGTCACCACGCCCCAACCCTCCTTCTTTATCCAGGCTTGGGACCAGCTAGAAAGCTAGCGAGCTGGTAATCTAGGCGAGGTTCATACTTAGATTACAATAATTAATAATTATAATAATAACAATAATAATAATAATTACAATAATAATAATAATCATACTTAGATTACGAGCAACGATTCAAGCTAGAACATACTCATCGAAATGATTATTAGAAAGCCAAATTTCACGGGCTCTGTATTCGGAGGACAGTATTTTCACTGTTAGATAAACTGTAAAGGTTGTGTAGAATCCGCAAACCTACGAAGACTTTTTTCTCCAAGAATTATAGAATGGGGTTGGGTACTGTTACAGGGCGATACGCTAAATATTGCCTGAATCTTACAATTAGTTTTGGTTACTTATTGTA